GGAGCTGGAACTGGTTCTAAACGGCACTGTAGATTTGTGGAACCTCTTCTATAGAAGATGCTAGAACTGGCAGGAACCCCCCCTGCCCACCCCCCACCCCAAGGTCATACAACCCTGATGCAGCCCTCAATGAAATCTTGTCTGACACCCCTGCTTTAGAAGAAGGAAAGCTGAGGCTGGGCAGAACCCCAGGGGGAAAGATTGAAAATTCAAACAATCCCAAATCCATCCCAGGCCCCTACCTCGCCGCCAAGCACTTTATGCCTATGATTGATTTTGCTAATTAGTTGCCTTGTTACACGGTGCTTGTTATAGGTTTTCTTTTTCTACTTGTGTAAATTGCTGGGACTGTTATCTGGAATGCAGTTTGTATTGAGCACTTCACATCTGTCTCTGTGAACCCCAGAGACAGAGAGGACTTTGTCTGAAATTTGCATTTGATGAATGGATTGTTAGTCAGTTGGGTCTTCCAAAATTGAACAATTTATAAATTAGCAGTTCCTCACCAGCAGAAGGATCCTAGGATTAAGTTTAAATAGAGGGGATTTGCACAAGCAAAATGCTCACAAAGCAACAATCCTTCCAAGCATGTTAAAAAAAATTCTTTTGGTTCCCTTTTTTTAATGGTTGATTTAAATTGATCGTTTTCGTAAATTACTTAACTCACATCGGTGTAAAATTGGCTACTACCCTAAAAGCAACAAAGTGTGAGGTTTCTGTGTACCTTTGCTATGATATAATGGTAATATATACAGGTAGTTCTCCACTTATGACTGCAAAACATTTTCTGTTGTTAAGTGAGGCATTTGTTAAGTCGGTTTTAGCCCATTTTATGACTTTTGATAAGTCGATAAGTTTTTGCTCGTCAAAAGGTTACAAAAGATGATCACATGATCTTGGGAAACAGCAACGGTCATAAGTATGAACCCGGTGGCCAAGCTTCTGATTTTTGATCCCATGATCATGGGGATGCAACAAAGGTCATAAATGTGAAAAATGGTCCTAAGTCACTTTTTTTCAGTGTCGTCGTAATTTTGAATGGTCACTAAATGAACTGTTGTAGGTCAGGGACTACCTGTAATGCTCCCTGCCTGCGTCCATTATATAGTCCATTAGACTGGGGCACTACACGTGCCAATGGCCCAGCTTCCTGGCCAGTGGTGGGTTTCAAAAATTGTTCGAACCTACTCTGTGGGTGTGGCCTCCTTTGTGGGAGTTGCTTGCTGCCCATGTGACCGGATGGGAGTGGCTTGCCGCCCATGTGACCGGATATGAAGATGCCGACGACACTTGTCAGAACCACTTAAATTACCTCACAAACAGCACTGGCATGCATAAGAATATGATGTAAACTTGTTTTTTAAAAGGCAT